TTCAAACATGATTTCCTTCTCCTCTTTGCTTAGAGTGTAGCTGGCAGAACGTAAGTAATGGCATCCATCATTTGTCTTCTCTGGATGCAGGTTGTCTCTTTCTCTCAAACAACGCAGGTCCTGTCGTGCTTTAAATGTGTCCTTAGGCTTTCCATACACACCCATGAAGCCTAGCAGGTTCACACAAAGATTCTTCGTCAGGTGCATCACGTCGATCAAGCTGCGGACCTCTAGGACTTGCCAATAGGGTAGCTCCCAAAATGTGGACTTCTTCTTCCACATGGGTGCGTGACCGTTAGCGTCGTTCGAAACAGGTTGGCTGCCATGTCCTTTTCCAAAGACAACTTTCACATCATTGACCATATCGAGTACATCCTCACCGGTTTGGTTGCGAGGCTTGGTCAGGTGGTCTGCCTTTCCTTTAAAATGCTTGCCTTTCTTTCTTACGGGATGATTTACAGGAAGAAATCGACGATGGCCAAGGTACACGACCTTTCAACATTTTTTTCAAGAATACACCTCTAATATCACCGAAGCAGTGTGTGCATGCATTATATCCCTTATTTGGTATCCCGAAAGATTACTTAGAGCGGGCCAATCATTGATTATTACGAACAACAATGCTGGCAGATCAAAAACTGTTCTTGTTTGTACTCATCCCACACACGTACACCTTCTTTATTCCACAAAATGAGAAGTTCATCAATAAGTGGTCTCAGGTACACATCGATGTCATTGCCAGGTTGCTTCGGGCCTTGGATGAGCACAGGCATCATAATGAACTTCCGCTTCATGCATAACCAAGGAGGAAGGTTGTAGATACTTAGAGTAATAGGCCAAGTGCTATGACTACTGTTCTGCTCTCCAAACGAATTGATACCATCTGTACTTAAAGCAAACCTTAAGTTTCTTGTGTCATTTGCAAACTCTGGGAATTCTTTGTCGATTGCTCTCCACTGGGACCCATCAGCAGGGTGTCTCAACATATTGTCTACCTTACGGTCTTCTTTATGCCATCGCAACAATTTTGCATGTTCTTTGTTTCTAAATAGACGTTCCAAGCGTGGTATTATAGGAGCATACCACAACCTTGGCAGGGATTTTCTTCCACGGACGTTCGCCCTCAACATCACCGAGGTCATCTACTTTGATCTTATATCATGATGCATGGCATACGGGCATGCATCCAATTTCTCGTACTCTTTGCCACGGTAGAGGATGCAGTCATTAGGACATGCATGTATCTTCTCGATTTCTAGCCCCATAGGACAGACAACTTATTTTGCTTCGTAGGTAGTGGCGGACAATTCATTGTCCTTCGGAAGTATCTTCTTTTAGATTTTTAGTAACTCTCCAAATCTCTTGTCAGATACATCATTCTTTGCCTTCTATTGCAGCAATTCTAGTGTGGTTCCTAACTTTTTCTGCCCTGCATCACAAGTTAGGTACAGCAATTTCTTGTGATCTTCAAGCATCCGCTCGAACTTGATCTTCTCCTTTTCACTTTCACATTCTCTTTATGCATCACGAATGACCTGACAAAGATCATCAGCAGACTTATCTTCTGCGGCTACCTCTTCTTCAGCTTCTCCTATTGCAGTATCATTGAAGCACGCACCATCGGGAATAATATCATTGTCGTCCCATTGTTCTTCTTCACCTTCTTCCATTACAACACCGGTTTCTCCGTGCTTCGTCCAATAAATATAGTTTGGCATGAAACCCGACTTGAACAAGTGTGAATGAAGAGTCCTTAAGCAAGGATATTCCACCGTATTCTTACATACGGCACATGGGCAGCACATGAAACCATCGCGTTTGTTTGCCTCGGCCATACGTAACAAAGAATGCAAGCCATTCATAAACTCTTGGGAGCGACGATCAGCATTGTACATCCAATGCCGACTCATCTGCATTACATGACATAAATACCGTATTAAAACCTAGAATATAATTAGTTAATTATACAACATGCATACCACCACAAAAGCTATAAATTTAAGAAATCCTCGCTACAATGTAGACAATCCCAACTACCACTAAAAACACTAAAGCTAAAATGCACTTCAACAGCATAAGGATTTCACGACCAATCCCAACTAAAACAGATAGATCCCCTGTTTGTTCAACATCTTTGGGCTTCTTCGGCTGGATCACTGCCTCATTAGCCGCCATATCTGCCTGTTGTGCAAGATATTTTTGTACGAGTTCAACATACTCTTCCTCCCAGTAGAAGCCTGAACATCCAGTGCCATCCCAATGAAATTAAAACAGAAAATTAGAACTTTAATCACAACCATCATGAAAATAGGTATAAACTAACCATAGTCATTAAATACGATAAAATAACTCACATTGCGATCCGGACACTTGTAGAAAATGCGACCCTTGTTGGGACCCTCCTTCACTCGGTACTTCATCACAATCTTCGTCTCATCACAACACTTGTCGCATGCAATGAGTGGGAGGCCCGGCCTAAGTAGCTTTGGAAACCCATGAGAGGCCGAGGACCCGGAAGCAGTTGCCATCTACCCTCTATACTCATTTTTTAATACACTATAAATTTCTCATTTTATAAACAAATAAAATTAAAAAAAACTCTAAAATTCTCTATATCTCTAAACAATGAAGTGTACTATGCATGCTACAAATGAACGGTGAATACTAGTTTTTAATAGCTACTTTAACCTTCCTTCATGTAAATATGCAAGCTTGAAGTTTAAAGGTTTCCAGAGCATTTAACACTACTCTGCTTGCCTAGAAAGTTGCTAGTGTTGTGTCGTTGAAATTTTTCATGGCCGTGGCCATGGTCATTGTGTTCTCGTCTTTTACTGCGACAGGTAAGTAATTCACATGATATTTCCGCAAATTAACAGAAGAATGGGAGTGTACACACATAACAATCGATTATCGTTTATATTTATATATATAGTACATTTGGGTACGGTGATTGACAGACTACTGCGACGATATCGGGACGTGTGAATAAATAGCCATCCGTACTAGTTGACCTTGCTTACGTGATCATCTCGGCGAGCATTTCTCCATCGGACGGCACCGTACTTGGCCACGGAAGAGCTCCGATTCTATGAGGAAGGAAACACGGTCTTCCACGACCGTTGCCGCTCTCCCTCTAGAATCAAAGCTCCTCCTTGACGTCCGTTACCGCTCGGCAGAGAACATGCTCGCCGAGATGAACACGGTCCGCAAGTTCAACTAGCTACTTTAACATTCGTTCATGTAAATATGCAAGCTTCAAGTGATTTTGAGCTCAAATTGCTTACAAATGAAAAAACAACAATAAAGAACCATATATATATAGTGAACAAAATAAGATAAAAAATGGTGAAAAATGAGAGTATGAGATTGGTAACCTTTACAACTGAAGAATCAATGGAGGAATCGAAGAATGGATGGAAGGACAATGGAAGGAGAAAGCAAGAACACTAGTGCAGTGAGCTTCAAAATGTGCTGAGCTTGAGCTCGGGGAGGAAGAAGGAGACGGCCGGGATATAAAGGGGGACCTTTAGTCCCGGTTGGTGGATCCAACCGGGACTAAAGGTCCCTGCCCAACGGCTACTGCGCCAGACAGATGTGGCAGGGACCTTTACTCCTGGTTAGAGCCACCAACCGGGAGTAAAAATCTATCTTTAGTCCCGGTTGGTGGCTCCAACCGGGACTAAAGGTCCCTGCCACCTCTGTCTGGCGCAGTAGCCGTTGGGCAGAGACCTTTAGTCCCGGTTGGAGCCATCAACCAGGACTAAAGGTATCTCTAGTCTCGGGCGCAAAAAATTTCGGGACTAGAGCCCATTTTAGCCGAGGATCAAAGATCTGTTCTCTAGTGCTTCCAACCTTGAATTATATTCCGTATTCGGTCATTGGTATATTGGAAAGCTTCTTTCTTGAATCCACCAAGGTATACTGAAAGGCCGAGATAGTTTTCATTGATTATTTCTGCATGTAAACCAAAACCAATAACCTGCTTTCTGCATGTAAACCAAAACCAATAACCTGCTTTCTGCATGTAAACCAATAACCTGCTTGATAGCAGACCTCACCGTACTGTTAGTGTTTTTGGTAAACATGATTGCCGATTTCTCCTTATTTATCTGTTGACTTAAGCACTCCTCGTACAGGTCCAAGATATATTGCAAACAAGCATCACTACCATCCAAGGTTTTCATGAGTATTAACGAGTCATCCACGAATAACAGGTGAGAAGCACTAGGCGTCCCAAGACAAATTAGAATCCCTTGAACCATATTTGCTACCTCAGCATGGTGGAGAAGCGACGAAAAACCTTCTGCACAGAGAAGAAACAAGCACGGGGATAGAGGGTCCCCTAGCGCATGTTGAATGATTTCATGAGTTCGACTCACCATTTACCTTGTTGCTCTTAGGGTGTATCTGTTTTCCCTCCTTACATTGGATGTTTGACACTAATTTGAAGTATCAAATATAGACTAATTATGAAACTAAATGCACAGATTAAGACTGATTTGCGAGACAAATCTATTAAGCCTAATTAGTTTATGATTTGACAATGTGATGCTATAGTAAACATATGCTAATGATGGATTAATTAGGCTTAATAAATTCGTCTCGTGGATTATGACGACTTCTATAATTTATTATATTATATGTTATACCTGATATAACGCCTCTTAAACTTTAATGTTTGGATCAAACATACGCTTAATGTGAGCTAGCTCCGCTCCATATCGCTCGTGATCTCATAAAATCACAAAACATAGGCTAAAGCCCATGTTACTTGTTAGGTCTCTTCGCGGCCAACCTGGCCGGGCCGAACCGTTTTTTCTGCAAAGCCCGCCATACTCGCACAACATAGGCCCCCGCCTAAAGAAACCCATCCAGCACACCAGGACGATGTGGCCTCGTGCGCTCCTCCCCGTCCACTCCACGCGGATCGCCCCAAAGGCCTAAACCCCTCGCGCCGCCGCCGCTGATCTACTCGGCCTCCGCCGCCACCGCCTCCTCCCATGTCCCGCCGCCCCGCCTCCTCCCTCCTCCCCCTGCTCCGCAGCCGCTGCTGCCCCCACGACGCCATCACCTCTCGGTCCTTCACCGGCGTCTCCGTCCCACCTGACGTGATCTCCTCCACCTGGCCGCCGCACTCCCCGCCGCGGCCTCCTCCTCCTCCCGATCCCACTGGGGCGTGGTGCCCGGCGTCTTGTTCTTCTACGTCGCCGCCGCTCCCGCCCTTCGCGGCATCCCATCTCCGCGCCGCCGTCTCCTCGCTCGCCACCTCGCTCACCGCGCTCCCGGGGCCCGACCCGGACCCGGTGCCCGCCCTCCACGAACACTCCTTCCCTACCCTCCTCGCCGTCTCTCCGCTCGCGTCGCTCGAGCTCCTCTCGCTGCTCCGGTCCAGGCCGCGGCTAGGGCTCGCCGTATTCTCATTCCGCCGCGCGCTCTCCCCGGCCCCCTCGCTCGGCGAGTTCGCCCTCGCCATCTCGCTCGCGAGCCGCGCCTGCGACCATGACGCGGCGGCCGCGCTCTTTGCCGACGGCGCCGCTACCCATTCCCCTAACCAGGGGCTCTACAACGCTCTTATGGCGGCATACATGCACAACGGCCTTCTTGACAGCTGCATCGAGGTCTTCCACGCGCTGGAGCGCGACCCAAGGTGCGGTCCGCCCAACGTGGACTCGTACAACATCCTCATCGCCCTGTACGGTCGCTCCCTCCTCATTGACCACATGGAGGCCACGCTCCAGTCGCTGGATGCTTCTGGCCAACCCCGCACTATTGGTACGTACAACGCAATCATCTCTGGTTACGTCACCGCGTGGATGTGGGACAAAATGGAAGCGGTGTTTGAGGAGATGGTCTCGGGCCATGTTGCTCCAGATGCTACTACGCATCTGTTGATGTTAAGAGGATATGCACATGCCGGGATGATCTATAAAATGGAGCAAGCTTATGAGCGTGCTTGCAAGCTTGACATAAAGGTTGACATTGTGCATATACGTGCAATGCTGTGCGCATACTGCAAGTTTTACCATGTAGGTAGAATCCAAAAGATTGAGGATTTGCTGAAGCAGTTGGGTCCTGATGATTACAGGGCATGGCTGAATGTGCTCTTAATTAAGGTGTATGCTCAGGAGGGGTTGGTTGAGAGGATGGAGCTGCATATTTCTGAGGCATTGGAACGCAATACCATTGTCAACTCGTTGAAGGTGATGCGGTCCATTATATGTAGCTATTTTCAGTATGACGCAGTTGACAAACTTGTGCATTTTGTCCGTCGGGCTGAGGAGGCTGGTTGGAAGCTGTGCCAGAGCTTGTACCACTGCAAGATGGTGATGTATGGGAAGCACCGTCGGTTGGAAGAGATGCATGGGGTGCTAGATGAGATGGAATGTTTTAAGATTGATCGAACAAAGAAGACATTTTGGATCATGTACAAGGCATATGTTAGTTGTGGGCGGAGGACTGAGGCCAACACTATACTTGGCATGATGTGGAAGCATGGGTTTGGACTTCCTCGCAGCATATCTGTTCAATAACTTGTGAGTTGATACTCATTCTGAATATTTAAGTTCATTCACCAAGTTTATGTACCTTTTCTTTTATATAATATATGTGTACAGCTGCAATATCTGTTGATATTAGCATTTTGAAAAGTTAGACAGTGATGAGATTACAGCGTATCTAAATTTTTAACTCGTATGACTGCATTTCTGTGTAGAAAGAAAATTGAGCAATTTAGAAGTACCGCATAAACATCCATTTAACATTTTGGTAAGGTTCTAAAGTAGGAGATGTTATCATAACAAGTTTTTTAATGGTGCTTGAGCGCCTGAGGTTCTTGAAGCAGTGTTTGGCTAAGGGCCTGTAAGATTTTTAGCTGTTCGCTAAGAGATTAAAACAAAGAAAAAAGTTTTTTTATTTATCTTGTTGATCATGATACTTAATTCACGAGCAGGGGGGTATATCATGTTTCTTTTTTAGCTTTAAGACCCTTGATTCTAAACAGAATGATGCCTGAATCAGATTTCTATTCTTCGCATATTTATCCCCTATATTAGATTCTATGACAGCATAATCTGGGATTTAGGTTTTATTGTTGATATATATGCCTTTCGTAACATATACTATAACAGACACTACCACAACCATGTCGATACTAGAGGAAGTTTTTCTTCTGTAATGCTGACTGCATCCTGGTGCAAGCGGTAGAGTCTTACCGCTTGTGACCGGAAGGTCCCAGGTTCGAGTCGCGGTCTCCTCGCATTGCACAAGCGAGGGTAAGGCTTGCCACTGACACCCTTCCCCAGACCCCGCACAGAGCGGGAGCTCTCTGCACTGGGTACGCCCTTTTAATGCTGACTGCATCCTGGGAAATTTCTTTTATATTGAGGCTCATGTTATTCTAGTTTTTGGGGAATTGTTTTTTCTCGGTATATCAACACCGAGCTGATGCGCATGAGTGTTTTTAATGTCAAGTACTAGTAAGATATGCATTCGAAAGCTTTTTGTGCAACCTATTAGGGCCTTTAGGGTACTATCATCCAAGTGATTACTGAATACTCGTGTACTGTGGTGTGTAGCTTTAAATTGCTTTGCAAGCTAATTGCTATGCTCATGTGATAAGTAATGTAGCTACAGATCATTCATTTGGATAGGTTTATTTAGTTATTACCATTTTGCATCTTAGATGATGTACGTAGGTTTATATCTGGATTAAGTATTTAAGGAGCCCCTTTATAAATAGTTAAAAAAGACTGAGCTAGTCTTTTCTTGGCTAAAATGTTATGGTCACCCCAATCTATGGTTTCATCTTTGTCATCAAATCCCTCCAATTCAGTCATGGTCTGCCGGTCCTCCTCTGTGTGGTGTTTACCCCAATACCCCATAAGTGTGATTGTTACAATTCAAACTGCCACAGTACATTTTCTGTTTAAAATAAATAGCAAGGCTCTATTTAGAAGTAACACACGCAACATCCTCATGACATTGTGATTAGGTTTAAAGTCCAAGCACTACCGTAAACAGTTCTTTGTAATTCTGTCATGCATCTGTGGTTCTCTAAGCAGTCTTTGCCTGAGGGGCTGTATGTTCTTAGTTCTTCGCTAAGAGATTACAATAAACAATTATTCCTTTGGTTCTCATTTTTTAATAGGGTATACTTTAAAGCTCATGAACAGATTATGAATCATATTCACTTGCTTTTACCTTTCTTCACCCTTCCTGAAACAAACCTGTCTTTGAAGAGAATTTTCTCAAATCAGTTGGTTATAACCATACTTTACAATGACTTTCCGTCCATGTTCTGTGACAGGCTGACAGCATAGTCTGGTAGCTAGATTATTGTTTTATCGATGCTTTTCGTGACACACACGATATTATTCAAACTGCCTCAACTGTGTAGATAAAAGAGGGTGAACTTCTTTTTGCTATGCTAACTTCACCCTGGATGATTTTATGTTATATCAGGGTATCAAGGCTCATATACTACTCCACGTTTTAGAAATTCAGTATATCTACATCTATAGTTTATCCATATTAGTGCCTTCCATTTGTGGAATTTCTTGATGTTAAAATTGTGTTGGCACCTAACGCAAATATTTTCACTAGCAAGAACATGTTCGATATTTTGAGGGATCCATGATTAAAATTATGATTAATGGTTAATGTAAGTGATATCTGCTCAAAAGTTTACCATTAAAGATAGATAGCCTTCTCAACTATTGTATTATCAACACGGATCTCATGAATATTACTACCAAAGTTAATTGTTGGAAATATGGTTAAGAATGCACACTAGGGCACAACATAGATGTACAAATACAAGAAAGATCTGCAACAAGTGTTTCTGCAGCATATTTATCCCTTGTATGGTACTATTGTTCATGTGAGTAGTGAGTACCATTGGTACTATAGCGCATGGCTTCAAGTTCATTTGCATTAGTTGCAGTGGTTCTGTTCCAAATTATGGTTCACTTTATTTAGTTTTGTCCTAAGCCAAACTTCTCTAATTGTAACAATGTTTCTATAAAATATATTAACATACACAGATTTCAAATAAATGCACTATCAAAACCTATTTTCATGGGGAATTTAATGAAACTAATTTGATACTTAGATGTTGATGCATTTTTCTATGAACTTGGTCGAAGTTAGAGAAATTTGACTTAGGACAAAGCCAAAGTGAGCTATAATTTGTAATAGAGGGAGTAAATTATTCAGCTATAGTCATTTGAGTTTAGATTGCATATGTTCTTTAAACATAGAATAAGCAAGAACTGTTCATGTTTAAAGTACAAACCCTAAGTTGTCTGTATGCATTTTTTTACAGGTTTTTTGAGAAAATATCACTGCCCCCTCCCCCAATACAAAATGATGGGGAAACAATCAATACAATCAGTGAAAGCAATAAAAAAAAATACTGTTATCAAGTTTAGCCATATTGTATTGTAATTTTCAATGGTCAAATCAAGAGATTCTGCCTCTTGTGTTAGCTGATGTGTCTTTTAGGTACACTTCTGGTAAAGCTTTGATTTATTAGCAAAGATGTAAAATGGAAATCGAAAGCTGCTTATAAGGATGTTTATTTTATTTTGTCTGCGTTGTTCCTTTCTACTTTTATATACCATGTTTATTTGATAAACTTAAATTTGGGAAGTGTCAGGGCAATAAAAACTGGCTGCTTTTAACAGGCTCTGAAATGGAATAGGGAAAATGAGAGCTATGTGTTTGGGACTTTGGGAGTGGGTGGGGGATGTCAGTATCCACTGAAAATGTCTTGTAATCATGCTTGCTAACAGATTGTGGTTTCATGGTTACTTTCTTACTTGTCTATTTTAAGCTCTAATTGAAGAATTGTTGGAGGTGATGACTTTGTCCTAATAATAGCCTTCAGTACTGATGCTCACGATAATTTCTAAATACATTTCTGTTTCAAGTGAACTTGTGATCACTAAATTGTATTGTAACAAGTTTCTTCTTAGTGACAATGAACTATATGCAATGATTGTTTTTTGCAATCAAACTGAAGCTTACCTATTATATTAACATACTGATGTAGTGATGATCATACATTTGCAGGATCTATCTGCTCCACCTATTGGTGAAATTTTTTGCTTTCTGACAAGCTACCTGTTTTTCTGAAATGCGCTTTCAATGCCTTTGCTACTCAAAGAGCAAGCCCTAGAGTTGCAGAGTTAATAGAGTTTTGCGGCAGCAGTGATGTCTATGGAATGTAGTACCTGAGCAGACGGCTGAAGTTGATCTGGACATGTTGGCCCTGCAACTACATTTTGAACCTGCTGCCTTTTGTTGCCCATTCTTGTTCTTCACACAAGTTATACAGCTGGCCATGGAGTCATAGAAGACATCCGGGGCATCAGATGAGGTGCCTTCGTGATTGGTATCGTGGTTCCAGCTTTATCATAGTGGAGGTACTACATGGAGATTTTGGCTGAATATTTATTCTGCCGCATGAAGGACGGGCCTGGTGCAAGCGGTAGAGTCTTACCGCCTGTGACTGGAAGGTCCCGGGTTCGAGTCGCGGTCTCCTCGCATTGCACAGGCGAGGGTAAGGCTTGCCACTAACACCCTTCTCCAGACCCCGCACAGAAGGGGAGCTCTCTGCACTGGGTACGCCCTTTTTTTTTATTCGGCCACATATTGTCATACGGGCTGTCGGGAAATCAGGATATGTGAAGCTTGTTTGGCAGTAAATCTTTGAACTTTGAAGCTCCATTGTTCTCAAGCAATCAGCACTCACCTTTGGAATCTCTATAGTGGTGCTAGAGGGCAAGTAATGAGCAAACTGATAGCCTGCAAAGCACTTTATGGTTTCACAGAAGCTCAAGTGGTGTGATACATGCGAAATGTACATGTACATGACCTCGTCGATAATGTGGAACGCAAGGAACCAAACAGTTAGGAGATAGGGCTACTGATCTGCATATATTTTCTTTAGGGTCATTATAGTGGTACCGCCAAGGCACGTCCGGGTCCTCTCATTTTCAGGCTAAAAGGCATAATGTTACGCCTTTTCCCCGCTAATAATTGACATTTGCACCAGTTTTTAACGTGCGTGCAATGATTCTTTTGCCAATCATACAAGCTGTACTCAGGAGAACTGTAGTTGTCGAGCGTGTCTGATAGTTTTTGTCTTCGTTCCATGTACCGTGTGGCCTCTCCCTTTAGCAGCTGCAAATAATTGTAGGCCTCCTCTGTCTTATTGCTTTCAGATTGGAATCCAGGTGTTTCCAATTTGTTTGGTCTTCGCACTCCTTGTTCTGTCCTCTTGTGTGACCTGGAATGCGTATATCATGCTCTTGCTCTCATAACTTTTATCTTCTCTGTAAAAAAGAAGCTATGTGATCTATTTGTGAATTAACTGGTCTGCGCATTCATTCACTGGATAAAGTGAGTATCATTTTTCAACTTTTAAGATCGTAAGCTGATATCAAGTGTCTATTACAGAATTTTGTTAGGAATCAGATCCTGTTTAATATACAAAGTTATTGGCCAATGATTATAGACCTTGCTGGTA